TATATATGTCTGGAAATATGCTCCACAGTGAGGCAATTTAAGAAGTTCACGAAAGAGAAGGTTAAGACATGACTTGATCCCGGTTTCTCTCAGGCTTCTAACATTAACAGACAATACTGTAATGAAAGCCAGCGCCTAGGAAATAAAAACATCTGCATAGAAATACATCGCTTTAAAGTGGGGGAATTTCTGCTCACTGGAATAAGGGAGGTGATAGATTACAGCTTTTGAAGTCTTTAAATAAAAATCAGGTTTCATATATACTGCTTACCCAGATGTTATGTAATATAAGAATTGTCAGATGAAGTATCATGTCCTGTACTATACAGAAGTCAAAACTAGTTGGTCATAACATGCTTTCTAGTTTTAAAATCCATTCATATATTTCTTCAGGTTTCAATGTCTTAATTTACAAACTTAACAGTGTTATTTGTGGTTTTATACAATATTTTTAGCAAGTATAAAATAGAAACAAAAGAATCCCTTGCATAAGTTCAACGGTAGAGAATCCCATGCCTTTTGTAGCATTTAGATCCAGAACTCTTGGACCATTTCAAGATCTCTCTTGCTGCCATCACAGTGTGGGCATCAATATTAAGCTATTATCCTTTATGTTTAATGGTTACAAAGGAGCTCTGACACATGCATTTTTCCAGGGTGCTACACAGTTAATAAATAGTCCTCGGGGAAGTACTAGCTGTAAGCATTCTTGGAGTTTATGTCTGGATTTAGCGGGAAGATAGCAATGATATCAGTAAGTGTAGCAAACCACAGGAATTTAATACTGTCTGTCTGGGTGCTTGTACTTCATTGTTTAGATTTAGATTTGCCTTATTTGCAATCTTGCTGTTAAGTGAAGACAATGATCTGTATTTGCTTTCTCTGGATAGGGAAGGTAAGAGTTTATTCAGTACTGAACAATTTAAGGGGTACACCTGTATTTTAACAGAAAAGAGTTAAGGGAAGGTATAAGAAATTACCTCCTAGCTTGAGCCAGCATGAAGTGAGAGGGAGTTAAAAAAGGGTTCACCTAATGATGTGAGAGAGGAGCTGCCAGTTTGCAGTCCCAGTTACATCATTTCATTAGTCTCACACTAGCTATTAGTAATGGGATGTGAGAAAGAGGGCAGGAAATCCTAACAGCTCTTAGCTCTGTTTAAATCTATGTCTGCTTTCTTAAGGGTACAGAGAAGTCTTGTTGACTCATATACCTGGTTTCTATCAGTGGAATTATATGCAGCACCGTAGTGACACTTTGCAGTTCAAAGCTTTTTCAGTTGTGCTTGTGGTCCCTCTTCCTGCCTGCCTTCCTACCCTGTTGCCATTGCACATTATGCCAGTTCATCAAAACATGTATTTTCATGGATGCCATTATTTTTAATTAGTGTGTGTGGTCAACCTGTTCAACATGCCATAGCTGCAAATATTTTTAGAAAGACACATTTTGCAATCTATGGCAGGATTTAAACTGGATTTCAGAAAGGATTTCTGGGTTAAAAAACAACTTCTACTGATTACAAATCAAAATTACACTGATGTGGAAATCATGAAGGCATTCTGCTGTGACTTGGTAGTTAAAGGACATAAAAGATACATTACAGCAAATTAAATGCAATGCAAGAGGAGAAAAACAAGAAAACTGCCACTTCCAAATGTGCTCAGGGCTCATTTGAGGGAACCAGAGACCAATTGTTAGGCTGCTCTGCCCAGCTTGTTGCTAGTTCCCTGGAAGAAGTAGATGTGTCTATCCTGTGTCTTCAGTGTTTCTTTGACTACTTTGCATAGAGATGATGAGAGAGACCTTGGTGCAGCCCTCTGGACTTTTTGCTCCAAGTCAAAGCGGCTTCTTTCTGAAACAGAATGCACTTTCACAGCCAAATAAGCCTCTCCAGGCACACAGCTTTCTGCCAAAATTCCAGCTACTGATTCATCTCACCCAGTTCCTTTTTTCCCTTCAGAACTTTGAATCTTATTTTCATAATTTTACCATTTGGGGGAATAAATACCTTTCTGAGCAAGCTTCAGACCTTCCCAAGTTCACTCAGAGTTCCTCAGGCTGATGATATTAAGCTAGGGTGGGGGTGGGTTTAGCATCTTCACTTTAATCAAATTATCTTTTACTGAAAAAAATCCTATTTTTTTTCTTTTTTCTTCTTTTTTTTTTTTAATCTTTTTTTTCTCCTCCCCCCACCCCCGCCCCACCCCGGCTCACCCCTGTACATGTTCTAAAAATAGTCTTCAAAATCTGTCTTCAGATGTATGCACAACAGCTTTGTTGGAGATTTGTAGTGGAGTGTAGTTGGAGATTTGTAAAGATGTCACTTTGATACAGGAAGGGAAAGCTGGGTAGAATCATTTCAGGCAGAAAGATTATGCAGTAATATCTACAATGATATGATAGTCTAATATCAGTCTGCTTTTAGATTTCTAAGCTTTTAATGATAAAAGGCTGCTTTAAATACCTTAACCTGCCTAGGAACAGGATCTGAAAGGATTAAAAATGGTGTAAGCCATTATACTCTCTTCTCCCTGTATCTTCAAAAATCACACTGTCAAGGAAAATTTTAGTATAATTATTTGTGATTATGGCTTACTGCATATAAATTTCTTATTTACTCTGACCTGCTTCTTCATACCTCCCTACACCATCTGAAGGGAATCTGTCTGAATGCAACAGACATATATATATATTAAAGATTGTGCAAGACAAGTTATTGGTATAGAAATGTTTGCTGGTCACATTCTGAAAACTGAAAGCTTTGTTTTTCATACACTTGGGTAAGTGGAATGAGTGTCCTTTCAACTGTACCAGTAATGAAAACATACAGAAAATATTTCCATTGCAGTTGAACTCTGTGTGCACTTACAGAACAAAACTTCATTAAACGAAGTGAAGCATTTCCTAGAATTCCCCTTCCACCTCCTTGTATTATTGTAATTTACTTTGAACTTTAAAAGTTCTGATCCTCTTTTAGGTCTCATGTAGAAGCAGTTTTCATCGCATTTGTTCCTAAGTCTTTTGAATTCCATCTTTGCCTTTTCAAAGCTTTTATTAATGCAGGGACCAGCCAGTTTTTCTACAGGCTTGGCAGCAAAAGAAGAATAAGAAAACCCCTATACAATTGAATCTTTTGTTCTCTGGGGTCCAGATCCCTTCACTCTCCTCTCAGCACCTCCTGAAAAGCATCAGAAGTGATGTCATTGTATTTCATAAGTTACAGGGAGGGTTTGTACTGATGCAATTAGGAAGGGAATCTTACAGAACCACCTCCCCTGGTTCTATGTCCAGTGCATATTTTTTCTCTTCAGCCCATTTAGACAGTAGTCCTGCTTTGGGGAAGCTGTGTCCAGGGCTGCAACAAAAGTTCTCTCAGGAGGGGCACATACTGGGGACAGATGTATCCCATGTTTCCTGGTGCTGAGGAAGAGGAGCATCTAGCTGAGGAAGCAATAGCACCTATAAAGAGCCCGAAGCTGGAATGTAGCAGGGAGACAGTCTAAAGGCTGGTAGGACCTGAGAACAGAAGCACTTTCCTTGAGCAGATGTGCCTTAGCATCTAATTCTTTTGCTGTGACAGCATCTGTATTCTTTATGAACTTGAACAGTGTCATTAGCAATTTCTAATGTACATAATACGTATTAGTATATCACAGACTTTGAGAAGATGCAAAAGCCCTTTGACACAGTAGGTAAGTGAAGAGAAGCCTTAGAAGGTAGACCAGTTTTTGACTTACAAGCTTAACCAGCCAACTAATTTGCATGAAGTTGAAGACTTAAATCACAGTGATGATGTTTCATATGTTGGAATTAGATGGGAAACTCCCTTACAGACTTAGAAAAACCTAAGATAATTAAAATAAAGATCATTTTATACCATACAGATTCACAAAACAATTTAATGTAATTTCTGAAGGATTTTATGGCATGGCTTAAATAACAAAAAAGACTCTATTCACACTTGTCTGAGGACATGGGTATAAATCACCAAATGTTGCGAGTCATCAATGTTCACATCTCAAGCTCATGTTGAAGTGCTGGGCTTTACAGCACAATCAAAGTCTCACTATGTAAGAAATGAGTGATTTTATTCTAATGTTTGATATTAATATTATTCTGTATATGTTCTGTTACAGATAACACCTTCTATTTTTCATAGCTGTATGAACCTGTAGGTCTTACAATAAAGTTTGGGGTCAATTAAAGCTGCTTCCTTAACATATACACTGCTCTAACAGACCCCAAACTATTGAGGGTGTGCAGACCTTGCCAGTGTGTTCTGACCTTGACTGTGCTTTAGTTCAGGCTTCATTTTTCTCCTTTCTGAGTTTGCTTCCCCCCTTTAGGAACATTTCAACGTGTTATGCAAAACTGCAAGCATGTTCATCATTGCAGGATTTTTCTAATGAGGAAAACCCCCAGAAGAACTCTCTAAAATCTGTGGTTTAAATTTCATTTTATTTGTTATCTTTTATGAACAAATTACGAAATATACTTCACAAATTGGAAATATTTACAATTTCTTTACAACAAGGCATTGTTGAGATTTTGATTTATGGCATTCTTAGAGCATTCTGTCTTTCAAAACAAAGACATTGGTGGTGTTTTCATTTACACTCTGAATGTGAAATGGGAGCCTTTTGGAAGAGTAATTTGCACTCTCTTTTGTTAGGATCTACTGGGAAAATTGAGGCTGGCTGCGTCTGGGGAGAAGGACTGTGCAGATGTGTTGCTGGTACCATGCCAGATGATCTGACGCCATCATATTACACCAGATGCTGCTAAGTAGGGAGGAGAAAACGATTCCCCTGAGCCATCCTTCCTCTGCTTTTTTCTCTTTAAAAATGCTATGACCAGGCTAAATGTAGCCCAGTTTGATTATTTTTTTTCTTGGTTTTGAGTCTTTTTGAGAAGAAGAGTCTTGAGAAGTCTGTTTCAAATACTAACAGAATTCTGAAAAGCTATTCAGACAAAAAAAAAAAAAGAAAAAAAAAGGAAAAGAAAAAAAAAGAAAATAGCCAAGAAATTAATAAATACTGTATAACCTCAGAATGTTTAGGAGACAAATTTTGAACATGTTTCTAAAAGGAAAATGCAACTGTGCTGTTCTGCACTTGTAGCATTAGAGCCATAAAAGCTGAGATAGTTCTATTTTCTTAATTCCTTGGACTCTATATTTTTTTTCTGAAGAAAGTCCTAAACCCATTTCTTTCCATGGAACTTTTAAATATCTCTTAATATATACTTCCATTATAAATCAGATGTGGGCCACCATTGCTTAGGTTGTCTGTTATTTCCTGGAACAAGAACAGAAAAGACAGATCAATATTACAATTATGTTACATTTTTTGAATTTCAATTAGCTGAGTTTGTAAAAAAAAAAATTAACAAACTCCAAATTTCAAAGTATCAGAAAAACTTTGCAACTTTTATTTGGCTTGATAAATCTCACTGTAAAAAAAGAAATCATGCTTCTTCCTACGTAAATTAAATACATTTGAAAGCCAATAGACCCATTGATACTGAATGAGTTGGACATTACTCTCAGACCACATATACAGCATTGATGGCATCTGTGCAGGTTTTGTGGCATTGTCCTTTGAAAGTGCATCAGATCAAGCTTGTGTGCTAATCTACAAAGGAAGAAGATGGTAATTAAGTGTTTGCTTCCATTCAAACCTTTTTCTGTGCTGACATGCTACGAACAGATACCATTTGATGCTAGCTGGGGTAGACATTTAGGAAGTAGGTTTCGATCTAAACAGGATCTAAGGGGTTTGGGATGGAACTGATTTTGTTTTGCACTTAATATACTGGACTACAATTTTTAGCAGTTCAGCAATTGCTGCCCAAGTGGCAGATGAGTCATCCTGGAGCAAGCTGACCCGATCATGAGTCAGAATCCTAAAGCACCTGAACAAAGATTTGTTTGCTGGGAGACAGCTATATTAATTAAGCAGTTCCCTGACCTTGAAGGCTGCTAAGCCAGATGTGGTTTATGCTCAGAAGTGCTTTATTCTGAATGGTTTTAGGCTTATTTCATACCACATTGAATTTGGATGCAGAAATGATCTGTTACCTATGTCCGATGACAGATCACAGAGAACATCCAGCTATGCCAAGAGGAATGGGCACATAACAATGCAGTTTTTCTATTCTTTTAAAAATTCTGATAGATGAGAGAGAGGTGTCACTGTTCGACCTGTTCTAAAATATTTGCACAAGAACCAAAAGCTCTTCTCTGCATGGAAAGATTAATTTCACCTTTTCTACCTTCTAGGTACAGTTGGAGAAAATGTTGAAGAAAAAGGATTTGTTTGTCCTCCTTCTTGTGGATAATTACTATGAAGAAAGTAAAGCAAGATTCATTGGGCTAAACAGAGAGAAACACAGAAAGAGCCTGACTGTATAGAATAGCAGCTGAGTTTCTTGGTAAAGAGAAGAAATTCTGGAACCAGGTCATTATTTGTAGTCTGACTCTCTCTAATACATAACATTTGATATATAAATAGTTTGGGAGGCAGAGACCAGAACTTAGAGTTTAGCATAAGATGGAAACACTGGTGCCTTCTCCCTCATGTGCTACCTGCTACATTTTAAAGTAGATCACAAGACTTAATTGTTCCCTCTACAGTTTTTGAAAGAAAGGGTGGTCTATTCCTCTCTACAAAGTAAACATAGGGCCATCAACACAAGTAGCCTTGCCAATTAATACTCTTGTGACAAGCATAAATTTCAGGTAAAATAAGGTACTTAAAGTTACCGAATTTTGAGTGTTTTCGACCACCCACCTCTTCTTTTGTCAGATGATGGTGCTGGATTTTTTGTATGGTGCCTTGCAGCATTTTCATATACTGAAGAGGAACAATCATAACTAACACTGAACTCTGAATCCCAGTTTGGGGGTTATGTGCTCTGAAACAAGGCACTATGTTTCGCTTATTTATAGGTGCCTAAGCCTTTGTTGCCTTTATTGGGTCTACACTAAAGATATCAGTCAGCTAGGAAAGATACCAGGAATACCAAAGCTATTTAATATTAACCATCAGTCAGATACATGTTAATAGTATTGATCTGACAGAAGACTACTTGTAAGTACATGTAAGTTTCCTTTTGTCAGCTTTGTAACTTGAATCTTCTGGAGACATCAGCTATTAGTATATCATCATAGTTTCAGAAAATATTGAAAACCATTTATATTCCCCAGTATTTCTATTTACAAAACTAAATGTATTAAATTAAAAAATGTTGCTGAATTCAAGAAATGGAGGAGCACACAGGTTAGAAGCAGAGTGAGTCAATGGTTGCACATCCAAATAGGAACATTTGGATCTTTTATTAGGGTGAATATTTTAAATACTCAACTTACTTCCAGAATGCAGCATTCACCACTTGGAATTATGTCACTACCTGGAAGCACCATTCCCGACTCAGAGTGGCATCACAGCATCAGCCAACTTTGATTAGCTGAAACTATGACTTCCTCTTAGAGGTGGCCCTTCCTGAAGTGACATAACAACATGGTAGCTCCCTAGTGTTCAGCGTACCTTGGAGGTAACTCTGGTGTCGGGGGAACCACCGGGCAGCTGGGCAGGTCGGTTATTTCAATACCCCTCAACCTCTAATATAAATATAACAATTATACAATAAATATAGCACAAATAAATGCACATGCAGTACATGTCTATATTACTGTATATCTATGTAGTATAAATATATCAAATAGTCTTATATACAAAGCATTTTAAAGCTATTTTCTACATCAGGGCCTAGTTTAATGTAAGTTTTTAAGTAGCCTTCATTATTTTTTAGGGGCATGACTTGAGCTGATGTACTCAAACCCGCTAGCAGCAGGAAGTCCACAGGTTGTATGTAGGTCTAAGAAGTCCCAAATCAGACCATCTACACATGCATACTTGAATCTACGACACACTTGCACGAAGTCCTCCGTTGGTGGGGCACATCCCACATTCACCAAGCATGTGCCATAGGGTTGCTCTGCACGTGCATCATGGCCCTTCACCTGAGATAAGTGGGCATCTGGCAGTCCTCTCTAGTATGTGTCTAAAAGCACAGTAGGTTAAAACAGTCCAGGAAAGGAGGCAGCGAACTGCTGCTATGTTTGGTCATCTTCAGCCCAAATTGGTAGGGTTGGCAGGTGTTTTTCTTCCCAGGCCATTTCTTTGTTACTTTCTCTCTTTATTTCAAATGGGCTTCATGTTCGTCTGTACTGAGGAAAGAGCCTCTTTGAAAAGCAAGATCTAACCTACCATCTGTAAGACAATAGTCATACTTGCCTACATTGCTGATCAGAATTCTGCTTTTTTTTTAAAATGAGTGGGAGAAATTTATCTCTTCTCTTGATTTTATCACCCTACTTTATGTTATAGTTTTAACCTGTACTATTAAACTTTTAAAACCACATTTCATATATCTAAGGTAAATTCATTTTATATTTCTACTTGGAGTCTCATGTCAGTTAAGAAACCAAAGGATAGTGGCAAGTAATTTTTTACTTCATGGACTATTAACTACTATGTCATGTTTTGTCAGAGAATCTGGAAACATTCTACATTCTGAGTGAATTAATCCTCAATTAATCCTGCTATTTAGAGGTCTCAGTAGATATGATACAGACTGTTGAATTTAACTGTAACGCAAACTTGCACTTGGCGTTTCAGTTAGCAGTCCACTTGACTTTTGTTCCATTCTCTACTCATTTCTCAAATAAAAGCCATTGGGTACAAAGTCCAAATGTAAAGCACAGGGTGTCAGTTAAAATTTTACTCTTCAAATATTAGACAGATCTGTAAATCCAATGAGCTGATTTCAAGAATTCTATTAAATTAATTTTCTGACCCTATTTGCATAGTTTCAGGAGCTTAAGTTTTAGAACCTAAACATAGACTTAGACACCTTGATAAGCTTATTTTTAACAGAGAAAGGCAGCAAATGCTCAGTGGTGCTGCAAATCAGACCAGTTTCATTTAGGTATCTAAATATGCCCTTAGGTGCTTAGGTTTAGTCATCCAGGTTTGTGAACTGTGGCTTTTGTGTTTAAATAGCCTACTTTATAAGCTGAGTAGTTAGGAGAGGAAGAAATTGATTAAATCCTGGAAGCATGCAATGATGTGGTTACAGAAAGCATTCTGTGCTTTTTCAGAGTACAATGCATGATAATCCATATTAATAAAGTTTCACATTATTTATGAAGTGCTATATTTAGCAGCTAAACCCTTGAATAGCTATACGATGGAATTATGTTGAAAATGGATGTAGTTCATTGAAATGGATGTACTGCAAATATCCACTACCTAAAAATAGATCTGTAAAATGCAACATAATAAAGCTTACACAGAATGGCAGCATTTCATTTCCCAGAAGCTCTTTTTCATATAAAACTGAAAACTGAGTACATCTCTTGCCCATTGTAGACGTTAACACATACAGTAGCATTTTAGGAGAAGCGAAACAAGTAAGGGAGGACTCACAACTCACTTTTTCTGCCATTTCATGGGAGTGATGCAATGAATGTTCTCTTTCTGAGAACATTCGCCTTTGTTCATAGCTGGCTAGCCGACAAGTGAGCCATGAAGAAAGGGTGCAACCACCAATTCCAATGCATGCAAGAGACATGGAGGCAAGATGCAAAGAATAAAGAGCAGACGACTTCTTTGTCAGAGCACGAAGAAATTGAAAATTTAAGATTCCTCCGATGAGTCCACAGATGCAACAGGCAGAAAAAAGTATCATCTGTCAGGAAAAATGAGAGAGGTTATGTCATAGTAACATTTTTCAGACACAGATTCATTCATATGAAAAATGAGACTAACCGTAATTCAATGTTTCAATAGCATCATGGTCTGCAAAACACTGCACGGACACTCATTTTTAACTTTCTCAGCTCCCACGGAGCTCCAAGGGAATGCAATACCTTCTGGTGTACTACAGTTAAGATTGATGTTGCATGTAAGATAAAGTTACGTAGAACGAGTTTGTTGTGAGTTTAGTCAATGGAAGGACTAGTAGGACACAAATCTTTTGATTTCTAGCAATTCATCCAAAACTGTATAATGACAGAATGTGTCATAATTTTCCATTTTTCAGTTTCTCACCACTCCTCAGGGGTGAATGCCTCATGCATTTTCAGTGAACCTCTCTTGCTTTGTGTGCCATCTGACTCTGCCTTCTGTTCAGTTCTAATTTGTTCAGTCAGAGAGCAGTTTGAGGGCTTTCTACAGCTTTTGTGGGGATTTCAAAAGTGTTCAAGGTGAATGTGCTAGACAAAGAAGCAAGAGAAGCAACAAAGAAATCTTACAGAAGGTCAGTGTGGTGACTATGTGATAGTTTGCTTGGTTTTTTTTTTAACTTGGTTAAAATGCTTCTGGAAACTTTAGAAGGATGTGATACAGGCTGCAGTTAATGAGATATGTTTGAAGACCTCCTAACATTTTAATTACAAAGATGCCACCCTGGTTCACGATGTCCTTGAGCCATAAATGACTCAAGAGCAAAAGACTTCATTATGAAGATACTGCTAAACTACTGTCTTACTCACATCCTTTGAAACTGATGGGTTGTCAGATGTTGATCTAGATGGGTCTTTGAAGTTACTCAATATGCCTTTGTATATATACTTATCTACTGTGGTAGGAAAAAATTATGAAGCCTTAGAGACCACTTCTGTACATAACTGGGGTAAGAGTTTTGTCATGTGTGTGGCATTCAGACTGTATGCTGCAGTCCACTGGGAAGTGATTATTTTATTAGATCATAAGACAGTCAGCTTTTAGAAACAGCTTATGGTCCATATGCTTTAAGAAATGAGATTGACATTGTAACAGGGTTAGGATAACTCAGTGATATTCAAAAATTATCCAAGAAAGATCTTGATTCCCTTCACACTTGTGTTGGTTTTAAGTGACTTCCATCTGTATATGGCGGAATAATCAAGCTGGCAGAAAATTGCACCAGATATCACTTATAATAGGATCATGTCTTTGACATGAAGTTCTGCTATGACTTGCGAAGTAATAACACCATTTTGCTGGAGTCAGAAAAATTACTGCACTTCTGATTCTTAGAACAGAGAGAAAACATCCACCATCACTTTAAAACTGGCTTATATGCGATAATGATTGCAGAAAGAACTTATTCAGTGAACAGTTATGATATCTAAAATCAAACTTGGACAGTAGCCTCACTGATGTGGCAGCACACTGCTGGTTTACAAAGGACAGAAGATACAATCCAATGACATTACTGGGGAACTCCCATAGGTACGTAGTGAATAAAAGACAGATTAGGGACAAAGTGGGTCCCCTCCAGAAGCTATGAGGAGAACTGGCTACACAGGATATGGAGAAGGCTAAGGTTCTGAATGACTTCTCTGCCTTGGTCTTCGCTAGCAAAGGCTCTGACCGCACCACCCAAGTCTTGGAAGGCAGACACAGAGACAGTGAGAATGAAGACCCTAGGCCCACTGTAGGAGAGGATCGGGTTCCAGACCATCTTAAGAACCTGAACATACACAAATCCATGGGATCTGAAGAAAACCATCCGTGGGTCCTGAAGGAGTTGGCAAATGAAGTTGCTAAGCCACTGGCCATCATATTTGAAAAATCATGGCAGTCAGGTGAAGTTCCCAATGACTGGAAAAAGGGAAATATAACCGCCATTTTCAAGAAGGGGAAAATGGATGACCCAGGCAATTACAGACCAGTCAGTCTCACCTCTGTGCCTGGCAAAATCTTGGAGCAGATTGTCCATGCTAAGGCGCATGAAAATCAACAAGGTGCTTGGTGAAGCAAGCCAGCATGGCTTCACTAAGAGGAAATCCTGCCTGACCAATTTGGTGGCCTTCTATGATGGGGCTACAGAACTGATGGACAGGGGTAGAGAAGCTGATGTAATCTACCTGGATTTGTGTAAAGCGTTCGACACTGTCCCACACGACATCCTTGCCTTTAAATCAGAGAGACATCAATTTGATAGGTGGACCACTTGGTGGATAAAGAACTGGCTGGATGGCCGCACACAAAGAGTTCTCAATGGCTCAATGTAACGAGTGGTGTCCCTCAGGGATCAGTGTTGGGACCGGTCTTGTTAAACATGGTGACATGGACAGTGGAATTGAGTGCACCCTCAGCAAATTTGCCTATGACACTAAGCTGCGTGGTTCGGTTGATACGCTGGAGGGAAGGAATGCCATCCAGAGGAACCTTGATACACTTGTGAGGTGGGCTGATGCCAACCTTATGAAGTTTAACCATGCCAAGTGCAAGGTCCTACACCTGGGTCGGAGCAATCCCAGGCACAGCTACAGGCTGGGCAAAGAAGAGATTCAGAGCAGCTCTGTGGAGAAGGACTTGGGCGTGTTGGCTGATGAGAAAATGAACATGAGCTGGCTTCAGTGTGTGCTCACAGCCCAGAAAGCCAACCGTATCCTGGGCTGCATCAAGAGGAGTGTGACCAGCAGGTCGAAGGAGGTGATCCTGCCCCTTTATTCTGCTCTCATGAGGATAATCAGGGGACTGGAGCACCTCCCTTATGAAGTCAGGCTGAGAAAGTTGGGCCTGTTCAGCTTGGAGAAGAGAAGGCTGCGTGGAGACCTCATAGCAACCTTCCAGTATCTGAAGGGGGCCTATAGGGATGCTGGGGAAGGACTTTTCATTAGGAATTGTAGTGATAGGACAAGGGGTAATGGGTTAAAGCTTAAACAGGTGAAATTTAGATTGGATATAAGGAGGAAATTCTTTCCTGTGAGGGTGGTGAGGCACTGGAATGGGTTGCTCAGGGTAGCTGTGAATGCTTCATCCCTGGCGGCGTTCAAGGCCAGGTTGAATGAAGCCTTGGGTGACATGGTTTAGTGTGAGGTGTCCCTGCCCATGGCAGGGGGGTTGGAACTTGATGATATTAAGCTCCTTTCCAACCCTAACTATTCCATGATTCTAACTTTTTATTGACTTTGCATAAATTTCTGTCAGATGGTTTTCCATCCAAGTTTATCCAGACTGGGATAAATAGGAATGCATGGCTTAAATAGGTATGACCTAAATAGGCCTTTTCATAACTGCCTTGTGTTGTTTGATTAATGCAAAGTGCTGATTGATTTTTTGGACTGCCAAGTTGCAATTGTACAGGCTTTTTATCAGGAACACTTGGACACAGAAAGCCCATAGTAGAAGGATTTAAAATTAGATAAGTATGCATTTCTATATATACTTAGGTATTGTATATGCAGTGGAAAAACTTACAACAAGTCCAGACTTTTTTTTGGCGCACAATATTCCACATATGCCACAAAGCAGAAACTGCAAAGAAAAAAAAAAAAGCAAAAGGAAAACAATAATTATTTCATCATTTAAGGTCTCAAATTTAAATGCTGCTGAATTGCTGTAGTGCTGACCACAACAGTAAGTTAGGCAGTGGTTACAGTTGTCAGCATTTTTATCACAAACCTTATATTTCAGGAAGTTATAACTGAACCATAAACACACTTATCTGAGAAGAAACTGGAACAAGAAACCAGATTAAAGATGATTACTCATACAAAAAGAAAAACCAAAACCGACTTTTACGCTGCTTGGGTAAACAAAATACCAAAAAAAAAACCCAAAACAAAATCAATGCTGCAAGCAAAAGTTGACTTTTTATTTTGGGGGGGTTTGCTTAGATAAGTTTAGCAAGTTTTAGTCAGTTGTCCAAATCACATGCTTTCAATCTGCTGATGTACTTAATGCCTTAATCCTACCATCTGAACCACCAAGGGATCATACATGAATTGTTGGAACTCTGAGCAAGAATGCAATTCATTCACCTCTCTGGGTGCAGGTGTAAAGTACAAGTGCAACTACACTGAGCATGCAGGAAAACCTGTTTCTAGATAGTTCACTTTGTATCTGTACCTTTTCATGTAGTTCCCTTTCACAAGCTGATGTACTAATTGTTGCATCAAGCATTAAGCAAAATCTAATTAACAAAACCAGAAACATCCCTAACAATGATGTTAATGGTTTTTAGTGACCTGCGTTGAAGACGGATGACGTTCTCTGAACGTCTGTCCCCAAACAAAAAAAGTTTAATGAGGGAGTCAGAAAGTAGTCCCTGAGGAAGCAGTTGTGGTAGGAATTAAAGTAGTTGGATGAAAGCAGTAAAGCCTTCTCCAGGTGTTTATAATACTGTCAGAAGATGTCTTTGATACCTCATAAACTTCTTTATTAAGAAATCTGTGCTTCTTATTTTCAGTAAATCTAACCCTATGCCCCTGCTGGGACTTAATTTTATAGCTTTGAAAATGGATTTTCCCACATTCATTCTGCATGGAGATGGTATTTCTAGCAAAAGGCCCTGCTTGACCTTGATTTAGGGTTAAATCAAGGAACAGACCTGACTGTTACACAAGGAAAAAAAAAATATTATGCAGTTTCTATACATCATTCAGGATTTCAGGATCCTTGTAATATATTGATCGTACCTCACATTTACCCTCCAGAATTTTGCAACTTCAGCATCTCATTTGAAGTGGTGCTTTACTACATAGCTTATCTCCCTCCAACTAAAGTAGTTCATGCATATAGCTAAGAATAAACCTTAATATATAGTTTTACTCTTAGGTCCATTGAATCAGTTGCACACAATGAATATGGCTAAATTTTGTATATTACTTACTTCTACACTAAGCATGGGATGTGAACTTCATACCAGTATGATTATGGAGAGGGCTGGGTCATGTAGACCATGGCGCTGAATAGATCAGTACATACCAGGACATACAACTAGTACTTGCTACTACAGCTCACCTATTGGAATAACAATCAAAACCCCAACAGGTAGGGCTTCCTCTACCCCTTTCTGACAGGAAGAAGGGATTTCAGCTCAGAAATATCACTCCTGAATTGTAAGATTTCACTCAAGGTTTCTGTGAGGTTTTGGAGTTTCACTCCCAGTCATGCTATTGCAGATTGATTTCAACTGAAGGAATGCTTCAGATTTTCACATGTAATGCTTTGCGTTTCTCAGCGTTAATGCAGAAACCTCAAAAAAGAAAAAAAATTAAAGATATCACTATAATTTCTATTCAATCAGACTTGATAAAGCAGATGATTAATAACATAATTTCTCTTTGTAGTGATTGAATAGCATTGAAAGGAGAATTTTGTATAGAGAAAAATTAATGAGTTCTGCAGAGCTTAATGAAAGGACATGGAAGATACTATCAAAGCTAGTTTCAACTTGTAATAAGTGTATGCTAACTAGTTTAAAAAGCTGTGGGGTTGATGATTTACCTTTAAAGCTGAAATAATAGGTCGCCCATCTCCTCAAGGATGATCTAATTCTGCTCCTGTTAGAGTCAATGAATTTTTTTTACCACTGTTTTCAATTGAAGAAGACTTTCTATTTCCATTGCACAGTTTTGCTAGACAGAAGGGAATGCAGTTGACAAGTTATAGTAGCTTTGCATATGACCAAAGGAGCAACATGCAAATCACAGATTCACTCAGCATTAGAATCCACCAGTTTTGGCAGTTCTGCTGTTCTTTACTGTTTTTCAAGGACAGGAAATACATCCTTCCAAACCACCATTATGTAGTGCCATATACTTATATATTACCAAAGGTGTTTCCCAGTTGAAATCCAAAGAATAGTGAATGAGCTAATCTGCAGGCCTGTACTGGCTTCTCAAAAACAAGAGGTGACTACTCTATTCCATAGTTGTCGAGCTATCTGAAGGACTACCTGGAGTAAAGATCTGGACGCAGAAGTTGAATGTACATTAAGTAAGTTTGCCGATGATAGTAAACTAGGAGGAGCTGTGAACACCCTCAAAAGTAGACAGGCCTTACAGAGATATCTGGATAGACTGCAGAGGTGGGCAATCACCAACTATATGAAATTAAACAAGAGAAAGTGCCAGATTCTGCACCTAGAATGAGACAATCCTTCTTATACATAAATATTGCAGGAAAAGAGGCTGGAAACAGCCCCACAAAAAGAGATCTGAGGACCTGGCTTGATGACAAGTTGAAAAGACAATGGTGTGCCCTTTCAAGACAAAAAGGCCAACAGTGTCCTAGGGTGCATCAAGCACAGCACAGCTAGGCAGTTGAGGGATTAACCCACAATATATTGCATTGCTGCTGCCCCACCTCAAGTACTGTGTGTAGTTTTGGGTGCTTCAAATATAAGAAGGGCATGAAATTATTAGAGTGTGTCCAGAGGACAGTGACCAAGATGATGAAAGGCCTTAAGGGAAAACTTATGAGGAACAGACGAGGTCTTGGTTTGTTCAGCTTGGAGAAGAGAAGGCTGAGGGTTGTCCTCATTGCAGTCTATACCTTCCTCAAGCGGAGGAGGAGGTGCTGATCTCCTCCCTCCAGTGACCAACTATAGGACTGTGGAAATGGAATGAAGCTGCAGCAGGAAAAGTGCAGGTTGGACATTAGGAAGAGGTTCTTCAACTGGGAGAGTGGTTGGTTACTGGAACAGGCTTCCCAGGAAAGCGATCATAGCACCAAGACTGTCGGGGTTCAAGGAGTGTCTGGAGGACACTTTTGGTCATATAATTTAGTGTTAGGGGGCCCTGCGAGGAACATGGAGTTGGACTTGGTGGGGAATTATGGGTCCCTTTCAACTGGAGATAATCTATGATTCCATGATTCTATGATAATATTTTACTGTGTCAGGACCTGTATGTATACCCTGTATGTATTATCTCTCTCTGTACATATGCAATATATATACATATACACAAGGAATAAGGCGTCCTCTAGTTAAAGAACTCAAGAGGGAATTAATTGCAATTCTTCTCTTATAGAAACAAATGCTTCACTGCTGAACTTTTGTTTTAATTATTTTTCATTAGAAAAAATGTAAGAGGCTAAGAGGTCCAAAATCTCATAGTTCACTCTTTACAACCAGTCCTCACTGTATCTGGGGTTACTTTTTTATTTCAGACTTATTCATACCTCCCATGATACATGATGTTTTATGTCAAGACTAAAAGGAAAGGAGATAGGGACTTTATGTATCATCCAATAATAAATGCAGGCAGAATCAGTTTTAGGAGATTGGTAAAAACTTCAAAGATACTACAAAACACAAAGGCTGCTTAAAGACTCAGAGGGCTGTGTGTGCCTCAGTTCCTCTTTCAGTAAGGATTTGCCAGAGACCTAGCAGAGTCAGAGTCCCTCTGATAGCACTGGTGTGATTTTAAGTTGATACAGTACTGTCTGTTTTTCTCTGGAATCTTTGCCATTCATGCTACAGCTGTGCCTGTTTATGTTCAGTATGCATATTTCAAAATCTATCTTTTGGTCTATTGAACTTTGGAACCAAAGATCTCCCAGAAAAGGAGAAGGTTTATTTTGAGCCTGCTTTAATTTACTTTATATTAAATATGGGCTTGAAACAAAACCTCAGATCAAAATACCTAGAAATTTCAGTAGGGAGGCTGAAATGTCAATTCAGATTCAAGTTTTATTATTTGGATCCATCCTTACTTCATATTTTCTGGAACAGAAGACTTGACCCCTTTTACTTTCTCCTGGAAAAAAGGGGCTTTCTTACTGGTAGTCTGAAAAAAAAAGATTTAGTTTTAGTTATATTTGCAGAAAGCCAGAGATTTGTTGGTTTCCATCATGCAGAAGAAAAGGAACTATTTTTATTTTATATATTGACTCTAAGGAACCTTTATTTCTTCTGTTTTGAAGAGGCAAAAGCAATAGGGTGTGCAATTCCCTGGAAAATGAAAACTGCCTCTGTAGAAAATCTTTCTGGAGAGAGGCTGAAGAAAATAGTAGAGAAAAACAGTTGAATATGCTTGATCCCTAGTCTTTGTTCATAATAAAGAAGGCCAAACCACGTACTCTAGTGGAAAGCCCTCCGGTGTTCTGGGTCATCCATATGTATCTGATGAAATAGAGGAAGGGAAATTATTTCGAATTTGAATAATAATACAGTGAAAATACAAGCGTATCATGTCTATTCAAATAATCTTCTACTTGGAAGAACAAGCATCAGGACAGAATCAACAGCTTTACTTCTATCTACTCTTGTCAGGTTTAGTTTTACACTAAAATTGTATAAATATGTGACTGTTATGAGAATACCCAGGATTTTGAAGTTAGTAATATTTAGAAAGAACCATTCAATTTAATAATCTTGCTACTTTAACTCCATTCAGATGAGAAAAAAGCTGAAAACCCTAGTGGATGAACAGAGCAGAGGAGGTACCTCTAATTGTAACTCTTCTTCAAGGTGGTATTTCAGAACAAGAATTAAGTTTTCTTAGAGTAGGCATAAAGGGCACAAG